AGCTGTCTTCGGTATGTCAGCTTTGTGGATTCGAATTTTATGATAACCCGCTCTCAGATCGAGCTTCGAGAAGTATCGTGATCCAGCTAACTCATCGAGCATGTCGTCGACACTAGGAATAGGAAATTGATCCTTGATAGTTGCGTCATTCAGAGCTCGGTAATCAGTACAAAACCTCCACGTGCCATCTTTCTTTTTAGCTAACAGTACTGGTAAAAAAAAGGGACTCTTGCTATGCTGAATTAACCTCGATTCTAGCATCTCAGCCACCTGCCTCTCAATCTCAGTTTTCTGGAAGTGAGCGTACCTATAGGGATGGACGTGTACTGCATGCTGCACATTAATCAGAGGTATGTGGTGGTCGAACTCCCAGTGAGGTGGTAGGACCTTGGGTTCGCCTAGCACTCCTTCGAATTCCTCAAGAAGCTTGCGCACATCGCCTTGCTGCTGTCCGGTATCTTCCGTGTGCGGCTCCTTATTTTCAACCACTACTGCGAATATTTGACTGCCACTTCGCCAAACTCTTTCGATACTCTTCAACCCAACTTCTTTAGTACCTTTCTCAGTGCCTGTGCTCAGAGTGACTTGCCGACCTCCAGATTTGAACTTCATAACTCCAGTCCGGTAGTCGGTGGTCACCTTGCCTAATCCTTCGAGCCATTGGACTCCTAGAACGACATCAGGTCCGACTAGGGGTAAAGCATAGAGATCAGCCTTCACCGTAACTCCTTGGAACTTGATTGGCACATTTCGAAAGGATTCAGTGCATTGAAACCTCTCACCATTAGCTACTCGTACCTCAAAAGGCTCAATCTTTGTGGTTGGTAAATTCAGCTTCTGGGACAAGTCAGCATTAATGAAGTGTGATGACCAATTGTCTATGAGCACCATCACCCTACGATCCTTGACCCAAGTTGGCAATCGCATCGTCCGAGGCCCCCGGATCCCTGCCATTGCGTGCATTGAAATCTCTGCTTCCTCTTCGGGCACTTCAACCTCATCCTCCTAATGTGGTTCTTCCTCGACCTCTGATTCCTCCTCATCAGAATTAGCAACTTCTATCACAAAAGCTTGCTTACACTGATGGCCTAGTGTAAACTTTTCTTCGCATTTGAAACATAGGCCCTTCTCACGTCGGCGCTTGACTTCTTCGGGGGACAATCGCCTGACTACTGGCCCTACCGGTCGGGCGCTGACGTTCGGCCGCATGCTGGCCGTCGCTTGGCTCGGGCCTGTGCGATACATGTCGGTGAATCGGGCGTCTGCCCGTCCCCTTCGTGTTGTGACTAGTTGATCCTTGCGTCGTCGGGCAACTTCCATAGCGACGTGCATGGTGTCTGGCCTCTCTAGACGAACCTCCGCAGCTAGATTGAATTTTAATCCACCTACAAACGCTCCTACCAACGCATCCTCGGGCCAATCACGAACGTGACATGCCAACCGTTCGAACTCCCTGATGTATTTGCGCAAGCTGCCTGTCTGTCGTATGCGCATGAGAGCCTCGTTGTAGTTATGGTAATCCGATGACCGAACTGCGCAAGCAACTCCCTCTCAAAGATAACCCAAGTGATAATTTGTTGTCGCTTGCGGTAGATCCTTGTGAGCCATTGCCACCATACATTGGCTTCACCATCAAGATAATATGCTGCATACCTTACACGATGTGGGTCGTCCATCTCGTTGAGCTCGAAATATTGCATCGCCCGGTTGAGCCAGGCATCTGGGTCGCTGCCGGTGAACGTGGATAACATGATGCGGGGCTTGTAGACCTTGGTGTGCTCGCGATAAGTGGATGCCTAGGACTGCCAATCGAACTGGTCCTCGTGTTCGTACTCTTCCCGTCGACGCTCCTCTCTTTCGGCCCGCTCGCGGTCATGGCGCTGTGCACGATCGTGTTGCCGTGGCGGTGGTAGGGGCGTGAGCACCGTGCGTGCTATCTCGTCGAAGTGCCTATTCACTGTTTCCATCAGATCGTGCACCGTTGTCTTTGTATTGTCGAGCCCTTCTCCTAACGTATCGATAGCTTCGCTCATACCACGGAACTGGACATCGAGATTATCAATGTTATCCTTCATCTCCTTGTTGGTCATGGCTTTCCTTTCCTCTCTTCGTTTTTTGCTTTGTGGACTCGTGGTTGAAGACGACTTTGGATTTTTTGTTTTGGGTCGAACGAATTAAAAGGGAGAGAAAAGAAAAGGGAATGGGTTGGGAAAAAGACACACGATCTAACACCTCTAAATGAAAGCACCAACGATGAAGATCGTGTGTTCCGATTGCCGATAAGCCGCTAGCCCGCGCCTTGAATCGCCGATAGGTGTTCTTCGAGCCACAACAACGCCTCTTGGAACGAATAAAATTGAGGATTTTGGTGAAAAACTAAAGCAAAGTGAAAGAACAAAAGTTCAGATTTCTATTCATAAAATTGATGATGAAAAATAACATGGGGAAGGGGCCTTTATATAGGCACAAAATATGTCTAAGCCTAATCTACCTAGAAAACTAATAAAGCAATAAAATATTAGAAATCCTAATTATGCTAGAAATCATAAAGCTACATAGAAACTAGATCTCTTGGTGTGCAGTCCAAGTAACTATCTCTCTCTCTTCCCACGCGGCCGCCTCACGCCAACCGCCCTAGGTGTGCACCGCCTCTGGCTTGCCTAAGCCCGCGAGGATTAGGCCC